AAAAAAAAAAAAAAATGTGTTGCAACTTTATCCAGGATAATACAAAAGATGTATTTTTTAATGACTGAATAGTATTCCATGGTGTACATATACCACAGCTTGTTAATCCATTCTTTGATTGCTGGGCATTTAGGATGATTCTGGCTTTGGTTAGTTTTGGGCACCCTGTCTCCACTGCCTCTGATCATAGGCAGGTAGACAACCATATGTTTCGTTCTCTATGTCTGTTGTCTTATCTTCCTTCCTCACCACCTTCCTAGCCCATGTTTTGCAGATTTTCGTGGCCAATGAATATCTGAGATGCAAGCAATAGCACTAACCTCTGCACCATTCTCTTCTGGTCTGTTTCAGGGGGCAATGGCAGTTTCCTGTGTCCTCCTGCACACTGGGCAAAAGATGCCCCTGATTGGTCTGGGTACCTGGAAGAGTCAGCCTGGCCAGGTGAGGGATGGGGGAGAAGAGGGGTTACTTCTTTCTCTTCTAGGGAAAAGGCAGGATTTGGGAGAAAAGCCCTACATATTTCCTGGCAGCCCTACCCCTTTATTCCACTTCTAGGAGGGATGAACTTGGAGGACAGTGAGAAGAGATTAGAGAAAATGAGACCAAGAGTAAGCCCTTGACTACTAGCTAGAGGGGCCAAGAAAACCAGCAGGACCAAGGGCAAGGGCAAAGGAAGGCCACCTTTTCTTTTTTTTTGAGACAGAGTCACATTTTGTCCCCCTTGGTAGAGTGCAGTAGCATCATAGCTCACAGCAACCTGCAACTCTTGGGCTCAAGCGATTCTCTTGCCTTCACCTCCCAGGTACCTGGCACTACTAGGTACCTGCCAGAACACCCAGCTGTTTTTTTAGAGATGGGGTCTTGCTCTTGCTTAGGCTGATATTGAACCTATGAGCTCAAACAGTCCACCACCTCGGCCTCAAAGAGTGCTGGAATTACAGGCGCAAGCCTCCATGGCTGGCCAGGACACCATTTTTTTGTTGTTGTTAACTTTTTTATTCTGAGACAGAAGCATCATACCTCACAGCATCCTCAAACTCTTGGGCTCAAGCGATCCTCTTGTTTCAGCCTCCGAAGTAGCAGGGACGATAGGTACCCACCACAATGCCCAGCTAATTTTTCTGTTTTTAGTAGAGATGGGGTCTCTCTCTTGCTCAGGCTGATCTTGAGCTCTTGAGCTCAAGCAATCCACATTCCTCAGCTTCCCAGAGAGCTAGTGTTACAGGCATAGGCTACTTTACTCCACCAGGCATCTTTATCTTTTCTTTTTCTTTTTTTTTTTTTAATAGTTTTTCATCGAGTTTTTATTTATTTTTATTTTTTAATTATTGAGGTTTTTTTGAGGTAGAGCCTCAAGCTGTCGCCCTGGGTAGAGTGCTGTGGCATCACAGCTCACAGCAACCTCCAAGTCCTGGGCTCAAGTGATTCTTCTGCCTTAGCCTTCCAAGTAGCTGGGACCACAGGCACCCACCACAACGCCTGGCTATTTTTTGGTTGTAGCCGTTGTTTGGCGGGCCCAGGCTGGATTCGAATCCACCAGCTCAGCTCGGCGCCTATAGCTCAACCGGCTAAGGCGCCAGCCACGTACACCCAAGGTGGCGGGTTCGAATCCCCAGCCCGGACCCGCCAAACAACAATGACGGCTGCAACCAAAAAATAGCCGGGCGTTGTAGTGGGCACCTGTCGTCCCAGCTTCTTGGGAGGTGGAGGCAGGAGACTCGCTTGAGCCCAGGAGTTGGAGGTTGCTGTGAGCTGTGATGCCACGGCACTCTACCCAGGGGGACAGCTTGAGACTCTGTCTCAAAAAAAAAAAAAAGAATCCACCAGCTCAGGTGTATATGGCTGGTGCCTTAGCCACTTGAGCTACAGGCACTGAGCCTTCATCAAGTTTTTATTGGTAGTTAAGTCATGACTCAGAATCATCAGGAACCCAAGTCCCCCTCTGCTATCCTGGAAGGACGAAGGACTGAGGACAGAGGACAGAGGAGGTGGGGTATAGCCAGTTCAAATCTTCCCAGAAAATGTGCCTTCTGCCTGACGGTCATCCCAGGCTGAGACCCAGGACATGGGGCAGAGCAACTTGTACACACAGTGGTACCATTCACACACAGAGACATCACCCCCTTTTGCAGCCATTGCCTTCTGGCAGCCGTGGTAATCTAGGTAGTTCTGCTAGCAATTTCTGGTCTGGTTCTGGTTGGGGAAGCGGCTGTCAGAAGGGGCAGTCTTGTAGTTCTTGATTTTGGTCTTCATGTCTTCCACCATGATGCTGACCCCTGGTGCACCTCAAAGCTCAATTTGACCCGCAGCAAAGATGCCAGCATCAGGCAGGAAGCAAAATTAAGGCTAGAAGCCTTTTTTTTTCCTGAGATAGAGTCTCACTTTTTGTCACCCTTGGTGATAGCAATCTCCAACTCCTGGGCATAGGCAATTCTCTTGTCTCAGTCTCCCCAGTAGCTGGGACTATAGGCACCCAGCTGTTTTTTTCTTGCAGTTTGGCCTGGGCGTGTTTGACCAGCCACCCTCTGTATATGGGACCGGAGCACCAGGCGCCGCCCCAGGCACCTTAGTTCCTAACTAGACCTGTGCAGAGTGGTGTAGCAGACATGAGATTCTCCGTTTGTACGACCCCTACTACAGCAGTTATCACCCTGTACTGTGATCATCTTTTCTCTCCCACTTAAGAGCTAGGCCTTTCCTTGGTGCTCAGTCCAGAATTAGGCAGATACCAGGTATCAAATTTTGAAGAATTAGGTCAACTGTATAGACCAAAGGTCGGCAAAATTTGTTTACAAGAACTAGAAGATTAATATTTTAGATTTTTTTGGATGTTACAAAATAGTTAACATTGAATAAGTAACCATTTATAAATGTAAAAGTCAGTCTTAGCTCAACATTGGTTAGAGAGAAGTTGATAGTTTACTGACTCCTGGTATAGACCCTTCCAGGTGAGGGCAGATTGGGGATGCCGACATGCTTTCTTAGGTTGACTTAGTAACTATGAGATTCAGCTCTTAGTTGGGGTGGGGCATTTCTGCAGGACTTCTTCCTTGGAAATCTGAGTCAGAGTTAAGACAAGTTTGGGGATTAAGTTTGAGAGAAGCCCCAGCAGGAAGAACAGCCTCTTCTTAGCTCTATCTATTTGTGGTGAGGTTGGATGATCTCTGCATTTTTTTCCTTGTGTTCTTCTAACTGGATCCAGGGTCCCCAAGCTCTGAGTAAGGGCCTGACACAGCTTGGGGACAAGCCCAGGAGCTAGGTCAAGTTAGGGAGTAGAGGCCAGAGCTAGGGCCAAGGTGGGGCATGAAGCAGCAGGGTGTAGTGGAGTACATCTGAGTCTGTGCCAGGCACCCACAACACGATCTTTGGTTGGGTACCCTTGGTTTTGCTTCTGATGCCATATTTCTAGTCTTCTTTTTAGCAAATTAGCTGAGCCTCCTCCAACACAGAGCATATCCTAGGA